AGACAAGTTCACAAGTCTTCAAACAGTAGTCATCACGTTTTTGTGCAGCATGAATTTCGTTCTCAAGAGTAGGTTGAACTCGGAGTTCGGCTATCATCTTTCGGCTCAATGCATCAGCAACTACGTTAGCCTTGCCAGGGTGATAGTCAATGTAGCAGTCGTAGTCTTTGATCAATTCCAACCATCTTCTCTGTCTCAGATTCAATTCTTTTTGAGTTAGTAGGTATTTTAGACTTTTGTGATCTGTGTGAATATATGTCGTCTCTCCAAAGAGATAATGACGCCATATTTTCAAAGCAAATACAACTGCTGCTAACTCAAGATCGTGAGTAGGATAGTTACATTCGTGAGGTTTCAACTGTCTTGATGCGTATGCCACGACTTTTCCATCTTGCATGAGTACACATCCCAAGCCATTATGAGATGCGTCACTAAAGATTGTGTAGTCTACACCTGGTACTGGTTGGGTCAGCACAGGTGCTTCTGTCAGACATTTGTTTAGTTTCTCAAAGCTTTGCTGGCATGCATCGGTCCATACAAATTTCACATCTTTTCTTAAAAGTTTGTTAAGTGGAGTTGCAATCGAGGAAAATCTTTCAACGAATCGTCGATAGTATCCAGCTAATCCAAGAAAGCTTCTCACTTCACGAACATTCCTTGGAACCTTCCACTCGGTGATGGCAGATATTTTACTGAGGTCTACCTTAACACCTTCTTGAGAAATCACATGTCCCAAAAACGTAACTTCATTAAGCCAAAATTCACATTTTGACAGTTTGGCATATAGTTTATGTTCCCGTAGTATGCTGAGTACTATCTCCAAATGTTTCGCATGGTCTTCTCGATTCTTCGAATAGACAAGAATATCATCGATGAATACAACCACGAATTGATCAAGATAAGGTCGGAATACACTATTCATGAGATCCATGAATACTGCTGGAGCATTGGTCAAACCNTTAGAACCCCAACTCTCTATTCAAGCATGAGAACATACTTCCACTATAGAAAAAATTTATAAAAGAGAGAATCTATTATGCATTCAACTCTCATACATAATCTATTCACAAACCGCCAATACCTTATGCATTTTAACAAACTTTTTCTCCTAATGATGAGCACATTTCACAGATTTCCATGAACTTCTCAAACCAATGACGTTTTTTCTATTCACATAAATGAACACAACATATTTTTACTAAATCAAGAATTGTTTTTGAACTTAAACAACCTTAATTTAATGAAAATAACAAACGAACACACGAAAACATGACAATCACTCAATAACAAATTATAAGGAGAATGAATCAACTTATGGGGCTAAGAAGTCCAAAATCCTTAAAATCAACAAACACAAAGCACAAAAAAGATTCACGTATGAATTCGGAGTTCATTTAACTACCTTATGAAGCTAAAATAGCTTCAACAAAAACCGAATTCCACATATTAACCTACTTATGAAATCAAATTATACAATTCAACCAATTCAACAACAACTTGCTCAACAATTGAAGAAAAACTAGCTTGAATCAATTCTCATTCATAAGGGATTTAATATAGACATAAAAAAACCATAAAGAACACCAACCATTTTTGGAATTTTTGGAACAAGCTAACAAATAAAAAAATGTAAAAATTAAACTAAAATCAACACTTTACAAAGAATTGGAGAAGAAAAAGAAATTGACAAATATAGGGTTACTAATTGTTGAAGAAGATGAAGAAATTGAAGAATTGGAGCTTGAGGGCCGCTCGCCGGGACTACTGCCGCCGTCCACGTCTGCCAGTTGTCCGCCGGCCACCACTGCCGCCACCATAGCAGCGGCCAAGCCGCTGCTTTATTTCCGTGTGATTTTCCCTCCTTCATATGTGTCGATTCTCTTCAATTTATTGCAAGGAGGAGCTGAATTCTTCCCGTTGATAATTGATTACTGCGCAATTGATGGAGCCAAACGTTGGAGGAGTTATGCGTTTGATTTGGGCGCTGCGCTCCGTTGACGATGGCGAAGAAGAAGAAGTCGTAGACTTTTTTTCTTTTACTTGTGCGAATTAAAAAGCAGAGGAGGAATGGGCCGGTTATTGTTGTTGATGATGGATTGAGCTTCAACCCAATTTTGATCTCTTCTTTTTAAACTTGAACTGCACTTTGGCCTTATGCTGCACTTTCTCCACAAATAAGATCTCTGATAATTTGGGTTAGGAAAAATAAAATAAAAATAAAAGAAATGTAAAAAAAATGATTAAAAAGTTACTATTTTTGAGAGAAAATAAAAAGAGTGTAAAAATAAAATTAAAATAAAACTAAGCTAAACAACTAAAAATTAAACTCTAAAAATATTTAAAATGCCTAAAAAAGAATAAAAAGTACAAACTCAAACCCGGCTTATCAATAAGGTTACTACAAGAGCTAAAGAAGCTACAGTCTCACCAAGAAACCAAAACATCATTAGATCTCGCCACAGCATACGAATAGTCATAAAAGTGAAAGCATATGAATTTGCAAAATAAGAAAAGGATAAACAAACTCTTAGCCTACTAACATAGGTCTTGGAAAAACCTATACACGATGGTCACACTTCGTGCATGAGGCATACATGGAAACCATAATTGTTCTTAGTACTAGTGGGAGATTGTTGAATATAAGTGAGCCCTAAAGGCCAACTTATGATTCCATATCTATGATATCAAGAACAATAGGCCCTAAAGATTGTTCAAGTCGTCTCGTGTGATTTAAACATAGCTTTAGTCCATAGAGTAGGCGCTCTAGTAACATAGATGAGAACTACGACGTTCTGATTATGAGGCTGTTACAAACATAGAGGCTACGTCTAAAATATCCTTAGTCAAATATTATATTATGACAATATGGACATCATAATATATCAAGACTAATACGTATGAGATGAGATAGCTGCGTCCCAAAGGCTATAGATAAAGTGTTATCTGAATGACTGAATCTATCTGTAGGCAAGCATAATGGATATGTTGCTGGATTGACCTGCTATGAGAATAATATATGGGTTAAAGTTAAAGTATTAATATTATTCTCATGCGACCATTATTATAACTATCCTTCGACTTGAAGTCATTACGATCTTTGGTAAGTTAAGTTGCATACTTTGAAGTATGGTTTATGTCATCTGAAATATTTTTGGATGTAGCATTATGTTTTGAGTATGCAATGAAGCTTAAGCAAAGATGTGAATGACGTAGATAGAATTTATTCCTTCTTTAATTGAAGTGTAATATCTTAGAGCCCACTGATTGATGTGACTTGGAAGTGCATGGCCATGCCCAAATAAATATATTATTTGAATCCCACAAGTCAATCGAATAATCAGTAAACCATCGATTTAACTCTAACAAGGTGACACACCTCATACCTTGTGTTAAATCAAGATATTAGTGATAAAGTGATAAGGGTTATACAAATAAGATGTGTCTTGGAGCTGGTAAAGA